TGTCCTGTGTGGTGTTGCTACAGTGTGGGTCTGTCCTGCTCTGAGGTCTTGCTGCAGTGTGGGTCTGTCCTGTGTGGTCTTGCTACAGTGTGGGTGTGTCCTGCTCTGAGGTCTTGCTGCAGCATAGCACTGATCTGTCACCCTCTTGAATGTGGATCTCTCTCATCTCAGGTTGATGTTGCCTCTACCCCGGCTTCTCCACCCCTAATCCTGACATCATTCACCTTTTCTCTCTTTGGTTCTCTGTACTGAATTCTGCATGTTTTGTAAACAACTGTAACAGTTGCCCTTACGCCCACATGCTCACACAAGAGGAAGATGGCCAGTGTCCTACATTCAAGGTAGACAGATGCCCCACCTGCCGCTGCTCAGCAGCCGTTTGTGGACGATTCTGCTGTGTCATCTGGTCCTTGTCCTTCTGCACAGACTCAAGGACCAGAGACCAGGGCACTTCTCTCTCGCTCTGTGTGCTTTCTCTGGAATGAGGCTATACTCAGGTTTTTCTGTTTTGTCAAAGGTTGCGAAACTTCCCCAGGTTGTCCAGCAGCAAACAACTGTGGCCAGCATCCAGCAGGTCGCCACTGCGTCCCAGCAGGTAGGGTTCGGGGAGATGGCCACTTCCCATTTTACAAGAGTTCTTGGTTTTCATCTTCAGAAAGTAGAATTTCAATTAGAGGGTCACTTACTTTTAATAATTCAGTGAACAAGGAGCAGATTGACCCCGAGGGCAGCGTGATACCCTCAGAGTAGCCGGAGCCCGCCGACACGCCCTATCCCAGTGCTTGGTCTGTCCCCATGGAGTGTTCTCTTTGCTTGTGTTCTGCACTGTCCCTCCAGCCAGTCCTCCCAGGGGTGTCCACACCAGCCCAGGGCTCTGCACCTGAGTTTGGGGGAGCACAGAAGCAGAGGCCCATTCCGGTGGGGCAGTACTGGCCTCAACAGGCCCTTCCTGTCCTTGTTTACAGCAGCATGGAGAGCAGTGCTTTCTTTAGCTCACAGTCACAGTCACACTGGTTGTACATTTCGAGAAACCCAGCAGTGGTGAAGGCTTAGTCCCATGATCCCACCTTCACTTTTCCCTAGATGCACCTGCTCTTAGTTAGAAGTCATGACTTCTTTGGAAACGAGAAGTGTGTCCTGGGTGTCGGTGGTCTTCATGTCTTACAAGAGCACGCTTGCCCCAGAGGTGTGGTGTGAGTGGGGTCACTGTGTCGGGGGCTTCTAGGGCAGGTGTTTCCTCTGATGCTTTGGTGCAGGCCTCCCCGCAGACAGTGACACTCGCGCAGGCGACCACAGCCGGTCAGCAGGTCCAGATGATCCCCGCGGTGACTGCTACAGCCCAGGTGGTACAGCAGAAGCTCATGCAGCAACAGGTGGTGACCACGGCACCCACCCAGCTGCAGAGCCCTGGGGTCCCCAACCCAGCACAGGGGCCAGCCGCCTCGGAGAGCCCGAGCCAACAGCCCAAGTTACAGATGCGTGTGCCCACTGTCAGACTGAAGACCCCCACCAAGCCTCCGTGCCAGTGAGCGGCTGAGCATGGCCCGGGGCCGCAGCTGCCGCTGAGACCAGGCCGCCCAGGACGTCTCACTCTCCTGAGCACCCGTCTGCTGCCTCACGGCGACCGCCCAGCGGCCTGAGCCTCACACAGTGTCACGTGAGGGACCCAGCACTGGGACGGCTGTCGTCGGGACAGGACCGTGTGGTCCTTTTATTAAAGTACATTCTGCACTCGCGAGCCTGTCCTGTCTCACAGCCCTGCTGTGTGGTACATGACTGACTGAAAAAGCAGCGGTAGCCATTTGTAAGTCCTTAAGCTTTTCATTTTCCCTCCATTCAGAAAGCCATGCAGAATGTCCTCTTCATGTGCAGTGTTTGCCTGTGACTGTGGTCATGTGGGACGTGCAGCGAGCCCTAGGACACCAGGGCCTCTGAGTGGCCAGTACTGCGTCTTAGCCCAAAGGGCACATTGTGGTCCAGAGAGGTTTCATTCCAAAGAGCCACCGTGGAGCTCCTCCCTCCACGTGATGTGGGTCACTGTTAAAGGGGATACTGGGCCTGGTGTCCATCTGAGCACACTTGTGACACGCTCCCCAGCTGAACTTCCATTCCAAAGAATAGTGTACCTCTCCCTACCCCTGTGACATGTGGCCCCTGAAAGGGACCTGTGATGGAACCCGGTATGGACATGCTAACGCAGCTCCAGGGCCTCTGTGACGTGTGTGAGACCTACATACCACACGAGTTGCTGGCCTGCCACGTCACTCTGCCACCTGGGCAGTGAACATGGGTGGTGTCAGCCGGAGGGGTTGTTGCAGGCATCCCTTTCACACTGTAGCCTCATCTGGAAAGGTAAGGGGCTTCTTGTACTAGGCAGTTGATCTATGACTCTGGAAGTCTCAACCCAACATACTCTTCACGGAGACCTGTAGCAAACCAAATACCTTTACTGACAAGAACGTTGGTTTCAAGACAGGTGGCCTGACCTACCTTCACCTTTCACTGGCCAGGGTCTCCTGCCTGAGTGTCTGCCCACTTGGCTCTGCTGGGGAAGGAGAGAGCTTTCTGGGATGTATGTGGGGGGAGAAGCCCCGTCCTTACTGCTCTTCTTAGTCTTTAATGACAGGACTGTGTAACAGATGCACGTGTGTGTGCTTGGTTGGCAAGCAGTGGCTTCTCATAAACAGTGCAGTGACACCCTCCCGGCCACGGCCAGGTGTTGACTAGTGCGTGTTGTTGGGTCTGGCTGTGCTGAGAACCAGCTCTGGCATACATAAGAGGTTTGTGATTTGAGGTGTGCCTTCCCCATTGTGTCATTCGTAGTGACATTAAGGCAGGCGTCCCCCTGCTTCTGTCCTGTGTCAGTTGGCAGATGTCTGTGGACAGCAGTGTGGCAACATTCAGTGAAACCACTTGGGAGAAAATGTTTGTACTCCTGATGCAAAGTCTGGCAAACAGTTATAGTCAAGTGTTGACCAAAGGATGGATTTAACATTTCAATTGAAAATATCAAGAGAAGTCTGATCACTTCCCTCACAGCAAACCCTGTCCATGCCGGCCTGTGGTGGATGGGCCACAAGTGCCGTGTGCTCACGTCACCTTCACACGTGCAGAGCTAAGTGCCCAGCGACCCTCATCTTCCATCTGCTCTCACTCACACCCTGTCCAGTTCTCTGTCCTGCACGTCGGCTCATGATTGCCTCTGACAGGCTGGGACTATCTCGATGGCTCTTCTGTTAGTGTGTACCAGACATACCTGCGTAAATAAAAGTCCTCTGCTAACGGAGGATGCAAAGAGAGAGAGTTCAGAGCACCTCTGAAGAGCTTTCTACAGAGAACCGACCTGGGGTTCTGAGTATCTGCAGTGAGGGATTCCCAGCTCTTACTAGTGTGAACAAAAGGCTGTGGCGTGTTAAGAGTATCTTCTCCAGCCCTTCCCCACTGCACAGTGTGGGGCAGAACAGTTCTGTGTTGGCCCCTTGACTTAGTAACATGGAAATGTTACCACTGACTTGAGTCCTATTCAGTATAGTAAAAAAAATCTTCCAGGAGTGCCTCAGCCTTACATTTTAAAGGGTAAACTTTCCATGTTTGAGAAATGAATGAGTGGGCGTGTAGGAAGTTCTTGTCCAGGCCCTCTCAGACCACTACTGTTAGTAAAACTGTGTCACTTGCCTGTCAGCATTCATACTAATATGTCGTGTCACGATTCACAGAAAGCACCATCACCCAAACACAGCGGCCCAAACCACTGTCAGCCTGCTGCTCTGGGCTGCTGTGGAAAGTGCTCACCAGGGACTGTCTTCAGTCTGTCTGAAATGCTCTGGGGGAAGCAGGAGGTCGCAGGCACTGCTCGGTCAGGTCTGGGGCCTAGGGCACAGAGGCTTGCTTTCTGCAGGTTTTCTCTCGTTGTTAACGCTTGTGACCAGATAGCTGTTGTGTTTGAAGATATAAATGAACGAGACGGAGACTGTAAATACTTTGTAAACATAAGCATTTGTACTTGGATAGGACATGAAGGGGCACCGGCATCCCACCAAAAAGGTAAACAAATAAAATGACCTTTGATACACGTCCTTGTTTTGTGCTTTATAGAAAACCAACCTGTAAGCTCAAATAAGATGCTAGATTTGTTTATTTTTCTGAAAAAAATACAAAGGCAAAGGCTTCCAGACAAGTTTGTGTGCAAGCACTCTTCTCTATCTTTCCCACTAGCTGTAGAGGGAATGAGAGCGAGCTTTTCCATGATGGTGCCACTGACCTAGAACCAGGACTACACACAGGTCCCATGGAGCCCGGAACCCAGGAGGAGAAGAGACCATAGGAGCCGTCTTCCCATGTGGCCTTGTATAACCAGCTCCACTGAACCTCTCTCCTACACCTCCTGGTTTAAAAAAAAAATTTCAGAGGATACGTACTTGACAGACAACGCACACATGGTGAAAAGTGAAGCGCCTCCCCTTCTCCAGCAGCCCAGGAACACCATGGTCGATTTTGTTTGTTTACCTTCCCCACTGAAATGGGGCTGCAGCATGTGGCCTGCCACTCTGGCCTTTCCCACCAGGCCCAGCAAGAGAGGCTGTACAGGTCCGTGGTGTGCAGTGCAGGGACACCAGACCAGAGCAGCAGCTCTGTGGGGTGGGGCAGCGCAGGGACCCTGTGAGGCCGCAGAACCAGTTCCAGGAGCAGCATGCCTGGCCCACTGCGGTCCCAAACGTTGTGCCCTCACTCCTCAGCACCTCACCTTCCCCAGTTGTGCCCCTTGGGTAAGGATTCAGCCAGGTGGTACCTGTGAGAATACCCCCTGCACCTGCAGGTAGGAATTGTCAGCCATTATCAGTATGTTCTCCTGAATAGGGCTGTGTCAGTGAGGCCCCTCCTCCGACTGCCTGTGGGAGGGGAGCTCCTGTACCCTTGAAGCCATGTCTCCACATTCAGGTTGGGGTTGTGGGTCCCTCGGGTGAAGTGACTGCATGGGGGTAGCTGGCCAGGACAGGGCATGCCATCTCAGCCAGCAAGGATGCTCACTGCCACTGGCCATGCAGACGGACATCTCAATTTAACTGGGTAAACCCACTCATCTGCGAGGCCCAGCCCCCAGAAGGTAGAACCCTGACCCTAAGCCCTGAGGAGAAGCACTGTGGTGACGTGGCTTTAGCTGGTACTGGGAAGGCGCCAACTGTACCGGGGACGGGGCCAGTGGCCCAGCGGTGGGCTGGTCAGCGATCAAGACAGGAGACGGCCTTTGGGCCCAGCCACGCTGCCACGTGAGCCTCATCAGGCATGTGGCACTAGTGTGGCGGTGCATACCAGCAGCGCAGGCTTCGGCTAACTGGCATGGGAAGAGAGAAATAAGAAATGATGGGGCAGCGGAGCTCACGGGACTCAACGCTCTTCCTCCCATCCTCCTCTGCAGCCTGGCCACACGCACCAGCATCCATTGGCACGCGCCCTGCTCCGATTGGCCTGTGTCGCGAGCGCCCGCGCCGATTGGCCCGCGCGGCGCCTGCGCAGAGGGGCCGGCGACGACCACCTCAGTCACACTGTGCTGATTCTGACTGGGAGCCCGCGGGCGGAGGGCGGAGTGGACCAGTCTCCCAGGCGCCGGGGTGCATGATTGCTCCGTGTCTCCCCGCCGGGCCTGGCCTCAACGCTGACAGGCGGGCGCTGGTGGGCGGCCGGCCTCGACCCGCGGCCCCCTACTCCGGGCCAACCGCGCCTCAGAGCAGTCTGTTTCCGGGTTCGCCCCTTCAGCCGTCCTCCTCGGCTCTTGCTCTCCGAGGTGCGGACGGCAGTTGGGCGCTGCTGTCCCAGCGCCGATCAGCGCCAGCGGCGTGGAGAGCGCGCCTTGTGGGCCTCAAGGTGGGCTCCACGCAGGCGCTTTGCCCGCGACGCTGCGAGCGAGTCCCTGGCGTCGGTGCAGCTCAGGCAAGCTGGGTCCCAGGGGCCGTGGCCCGCCCCCTGCTGTAGGGCTGAGGAGCCAGCCCCGTGTTCCCTGGTCATGGACTCGGTGCGGTGCGTTTGCCACCGGCGACTGAGTCTGTAAGCGAATTGGAGGCGTTGGCGTTGGCGAGTGGAGGTGCCTGGGACCGGCAAGAGCACTGAGAATTCACCCATCCAGAGCCAGGACTCCCACGGACTCCCGGTGCGCGTGTGGCCCGGCAGAACCGTGCCCCTAGCGTTTGGAAGGCTGGCTTTTCAGAAGCCGATGGCCAGGCCTTTCTCCCGAGGAGCCGAGGGTGTGTTGGAGCCCTCCTTTCGGCTGGTTGTGGAATGCTCAATCCCCCGGAGACTTCTAGAAAAACAAGCATTCTTGTTTCCTCTCTGGTCCCAGATAGCAGTCCCTCCGTTTAATTTTCCCCTTCCTTCAGTCTGCAGTGTCTGTGCAGGTCAGGAGGTAGGTAGACTGACTGGTTCTTTTCATACTTGCGTAATAGTCCATCCCCCAAACCTCCCATTGCTGTTGAATCGATTCCAACTCATAGCAACCCTGTAGTTCATAGTTGAGGGTATGTAATATTCACCTTTCCCCGTGGAGGGCCCTTAGTTTTGTTTCCAGCATTTTGCCCCTACAGACAATACTGAGATGAGTGTCTTTATGCATAGATTCTGGTACTTCAATTTCACAGGCTGGAGTTGCCTTCACAGGAACTAAATGGGGTCATGGGTCAAAGATAGGCACGTTTAACTTTATCTTTCATAGACGCTGCCACATTAGTTCCTGTAAAGCTACTCTCCTGTCGGAGATGTGTGTGGGGACCCTTCTGCCGGTCGCACTGGTTGCTTTGTGCACTTCCTTGGCTGCTGCTAAACCTGCTTGTGGGCCATGATACTGCCTCTTCTGCACTGGCTGTTGTTTGCTTCGCGTTCCCCTGGTGAGCTGCCTTTCTACTAAGTTGGAACTCGGAATATTAAGGCTGTTCTCGCTCTGCAGCCATGAACTGTTGCCTGTTTTCCCTCTGACGGTATTCTTGGTCTTCTCATGTTGCTTATGGCATCTTTTTTGCACTTCTCTCTTTTTCTCTCCCCCCAACCCTTTTGTGGCATCTGGATCTCTTGCTTTAAAAAAGATTGTTGCCTTCTAAAGACTTATAGTCACTTACACTTTATTCTAATGAAGTGTTTCATTTTCTGTTCATTTTCTTTTCCTTAGTGTTACTGTGTTGGTCATTTGCTTTTGGTACATTGCCTGTCCGTTCACCCAAATCAGTGTTTGTCTCTACCTATCTAGCAATTTTCCTTCCCTCCCCTCCCACCCCTGGTGACCAACAAAGAAAGTTTCCTTGTGCATATAAACCTTTCCTTGACTATTTATAATAGTGGACTAACACAATATTTGTTCTTCTGTGATTGACTTATTTCACTCAGCATACCATCCTCCAAGTTCATCCACATTATGAGATGTTTCACAGATTCTACGTTATCCTTCAGTGTTGCATGGTCTTCTGTTGTGTGCTTGTACCACAGTTTGGTTAAACATTCCTCTGTTGATGGGCACGTACGTTGTTTCCATCTCTTTACTGTTGTGAATAGTGCTGTGATGAATATGGGTGTGCATATATCTCTATTCGTGTCCTGCCTCTCACCTCTTCAGGATATATATGCCTACTAATGGGATTGCTGATCAAATGGTATTTCTATCTCCAACTATTTAAGGAATTGCCATTTCCACAGTGATTATATCATTTTTCAGTCCCACCAGTGGTGTAGGGGAGTCCTAATCTCTCCACATCCTTGCCAGCATTTATTATTTTCTGCCTTGTCGAACTTTGCTATTATTCTGGAGTGAGATGGTATCTCGTTTTGATTTGTACCTCTTTAATGGTTAGTGATCACGAACATTTTTTCATGTGTTTGCCGGCTGCCTGAATGTCTTCTTTGGTGAGGTGTCTGTTCATGTCTTTTGCCCATTTTTAAATTGGATTGTTTGCCTTTTGGATGTTGAGGTGTTGGAATTTTCTCTAAGTTTTAGAAAAAAGTCCCTTGGGAGATATGTCATTGCTGAATATTTTTTCCCAATCTATAGCTTCTCTTTTCACTCTTTTGGAGGAGTCTTTTGATGCACATAAGAATTTAATTTTCAAAAGGTCCTAATCATCTAGTTTATCTTCTACTGTTTGTGCATTTTGGATTATGCTTGATAGTTTATTTGTGCCATAAATTAGGGCCCAAGGTTGCCCCTGTTTTTTCTTTGATGAACTTTATAATTTTGGTTTCACAGTTAAGTCTTTGATCCATCTGGTGTGAGGTATGGATCTGTTTTCATTCTTCTGCAAATGGATTTCCAGTTTTCCCAGCACCCTGTGTCTTACCATTTAATGGATTTTGGACCTTTGTCGAAGATCAGATGTCCATAGATGGATGGATCTTTTCTTGAGTTCTCAATTCTGTTCTACTGGTCTATTGTGCCTGTCGTTGTACCAGTTACCAGGTCGCTTTGACTACTGTGGTCGCTTTGACTACTGTGGTTGTATAGAAGGTTTTGAGATTGAAGATTGTGAGACCTCCTACTTAGCTCTTTTTCAGTACTGCTTTGCTTCTGTATATAAGATTAGTGATTGGTTTTCCCATGTCCTTAAAGAATGCTGATGGGATCTGGATTGGTATTGCATTGAATCTATAGATTGCTTTGGTATTATTGACATTTTTACAATGTTCAGTCTTTCTATCCATAAACATGGTATATTA